GCAGAACTAGTCCCCCCAAGGTGTGCCTCTGTGGTATATATGTTATTTTGAGCTAAACCTTTGGGCTGAAGAGACACTCCTGCCCGCCCCCTCTTCCTTAACTACTTAGAAGAATTTACAATAGGGACCTTGTCCATAATAAGACTTACTACCAGAAATAACTTTTTATGAACTATTTCTAGGGCAGGGCAAACATCTAATTACTGAACATCAGGTGGTGGTGGTGGTGGTGTGAATTAGCTCATTTTAATTTTTCAACCAGTCAAAAGAATCAGAGGAGGGAGGGGGAACCTTTCCCCCTCCCAGCAATATAGCACCTCCTATATTGTGATGAGGGTATAGATTTATACATCTACTAGGCAAAACTTTCTGACTGTATCTACTAAAGCTGAACACATGTATACCCCATGACCCAGAACTTCTTCATCTAGGTATAGACCCAACAAAGGACATGTTCTGGGAAGTTCAGAGCAGCTGTGTTCATAAGAGTAAAAAACTGGAGACCATCCAAATGCCCATCAACAGCAGAACGGATGGATAGATCATGCTAGAGTCCCACCGTGAAACACTACCCCCCAGTGAGAAGGAACTCACAGCTACGTGCAAAAATATGGCCCAGTTTCACAGGCATAATGCCGAGCAAAAAAAGCCAGAGAGAAAAAGACTGCATAGTGTATGTTTTCATTTATATGAAATGCAAAAACAGGCCAAACTCATCCGTGGTGTAGAAGTCAGAATCATGGTTGCCCATGGAGGGGGCAGGTAATGACTGGAAGGGGGCATGAGGGAGGCTTCATGTTCTCTTTCATGTGGTATAGCCAATTTTGAACATGTATCAAGTTTATGATATGTGTACTTTTTTTGCATGTCTGTTATATTTCAATAAGATATTTTGAAAAGATATCCCTCTCTTTCTGATGGCTTAATGGAGAACATCTCGGCTGAGATGTGGCTTGCCTCAGTGCCTCCCTAGACCGGCTCATCTTTTGTAAGTCAGGGAGAACAAGTGTGCCAGGCTCCGAGGCTTCAGTAAGCAACCGTATCCAGCTTGAACTGCCTAACTTTTGTTTCCCTGTGTTTATTTTTATGGTTGCTATCTGCACATGGCCATCAATACAGGTTTTCCATTTATGGTAGTGATATAAAGTTTCTTTTAAAAATAGCTTTAAGTAAAGGGAAGAAAAGTGAGTTGCCTTATATTAAAAACATTATGTAAATAGTAATACAGGTGGTTCTTAGTTACAGTAAACCTTGAGAGGGTGGAGTTGGTGAAACACTTTTCAAAAGGAAAAAGGCAGGGGTTAAGGGGAGGGGAGAAAACCAGTTTCAGCCTGTCCCCATCTCTCAAGGAGTCCTCGCTGCACAGCACAGACAGACTCCCAGGCCTGAGGACATACATACCCCTTACAAGGGACCCCTTACAGGAATGTAAGCGAGGTATGCTCCAGGAACAGTGGCAAAGCAGGGACTAGGAGCAGAGAACCCGGGTTTGCTCAATACACATTCATCAAGCCTCTGTGTTCCAGGCACTGTTCTATGCCAGCCTAAGTAACCTGGCTTGGGGCCTTGGTTAAGACCCCTCCACTTCTCTAAGCTTCAGCTGATGGAGGATGTTCCATGACTGAAGCCTTTCTGGAGTAGAACTCTGAACCTCATGACAGTTAGAAAAGGACTTAAAAGTTGGGGCTGTTGTTGGTGGTGCTGGTGCTGTTGGTGGTGCTGGTGGTGGTGGTGGTAGTGATGATGGTGGTGGTAGTGATGGTGGTGGTGGTGATGGTTAGTGATGGTGGTGGTGGCCGTGGTGGTGGTGATGATGGTGGTGGCGGTGGTATGTGTGACTATTAACCAAGGAACTAGGAGAAAAGAACTGGGGAGTGGTCTTCAGACTCAATGGCAAGAGAAAGTTCATTGGAACTTTGCATCGGTTAAGTTAGCCTCACTTTACCTGCTCATCTCCAGGGTTCTGGGTAAGAGATCAAGAACTTTACACAGAGGTGGAGGGAGAATCTCAAAGTGTAAATGAGCAGCTGAATGAACACATAAATGTCTCTCCTCAATACATGCTGGGCATTGCAGTGGAGATCGAGAATGAAGAGTGTTTTCAGAGATGGCACTACTCATTCACTCGCTCACTCGCTCACTCACTCACTCACTCAACACAACACATTTACTGAATGCCTACTTGGTGCCAGGCACTATATTTGAGACCAGTGCCCCATCCAATATGTAGCTACTAGCCACATGTAGCTGTCGCGCAACTGAATTTTGGCTAGTTCAAACTGAAAAGTGTTGTAAGCATAAAATACACACCAGAGCTTGAGGAGCTAGTATTTTTTTAAAAGGAATGTTAAATCTCTAATATTTTAAAATGTTGATTCCACATTGAAATGAATCTATTGGGTTCAATAAAGTATATTCTTAAGATGGGTTCCACCTAGTTCTTTTTCACTGTGTTTTAATGTGGCTGCTGGAAAACTGAAACTTGCACACGTGGCTCACAGCTGAGGCATGCGGTCGATTTCCACTGCAGTGTCACAGACACTGTCCTCTGAAGGCGCTCAGACTAAACAAATGTTACCAGGCAGGCACAAGATGCCAGGGCACATTACGGAGGAGTCACCACCAACCTTCCCATGCCTGTCACTTTGTACTGTTGTCAGATCTGCACAGGACACAGTTCTAGTGATTTCCAGAAGTCCAGCTCTGTGCCTTTCACTCTACACGCCCATGGACGCTGTAGCCCTCCGCCCTCCCACTGGGCCAGACCCCCACACAAGTCCCCTGGACTGTGCTTCCAAGCATTCTGCTTCTCTTCTCCAACCTCACTTTCTCATTTTCATGTCCTGGTGTTGGCTGGTCTCCCTGCTCGGGGTGTCCTTGCTATCCCTACATTTCTCCTGGTCGACTTCCAAGCTTCAATTTCGGGTCTGATTTACCCATGAAATCTCCATCACATCTCCTTCTAAATATTTCTCCTCTTCAAAGCCTCTGGTGACCAGTTATTGTTCATCTTAACAAACTCTCCCCCATAACATTGTTAGTTGCTTAAGATCAGGAATTTGCCTTACTGAGCCTCTAGCTCATCTTCAAGGCCAGGTGGCCACTTGGTAAGTAGCTATTGAGTTGAATCAAACGGCTTTGAGTCTTAATGTTAGAAAGAGCTGGGGTGGAGGGCTCCCGTGGGAGGAAGTGTGGCACAGAAGTACCGTAATTCACTGCTTAGCGACGGGGGTATGTCCTGAGGAATGTGTCCTTAGGTGATGTCTTCACTGTGGGAACATCACAGGATGCACTATTGCTCCTAGGCTACAAACCTGTACAGTGTGTCACTGTTTAAACAACATGAGATATAATCAAGTACAGAAGAACTGATGCAATCAGGGTACTCGGTGGTGCCAGCACACCACCACATGTTGTCTCCCAGAACACTCTAAAGTAATGATTAAAAGGACAGTATAGTAAATACATAACCCAGGAACAGTTGTTTGCCATCATTCTCCAGTATTATGTACTGCACAGAATTGTACAAACTATACTTTGGTATAACTGGCAGCACAGGTTTATACCAGAATCACCATAAACACAAGTAACATGTTGGACAACGACATCACAATGGCCATGATGTCACTAGGTGGTAGGAATGTTTCAGCTCCATTATAATCTTATAGAACCACTTTTTTTTTTTTTTTAATCCTCACCAGAGAACATTTTTGCATTTATCTTCAGATAGAACGGGAGGAAGAGAGAGAGAGAAACATTGACTGGTTGCCACCCACACAACCACAGCCAGGTTGGGGAAGAACTGCAACCGAGGTACAGGCTCTTAGCGGAACCGAAGCTGGGACTCCCTAGTCCGAAGGCTGACGCTCTAACCACTGAGCCAAGCTGGCCAGGGCTGGAACCACTTTTGTACACGCAGTCCCTTGTTGACAGAAACGTCCTTACCGGGCATGGTTGTACTGAGAAATTAAACCTGGCTGGAGGCATCTTAATGGTCCGTCTGTTACCATGAGAGTCTCAGACAAGCGTCTTTTAAGGTCACAGCCCAGGGAGATGGCAGGTCCAGCCTGGGATGCTGGGGGGTTGGAGGCAACTTGGACGGATGTCTCAGTAAATCAAACAGAACAACGAAGGGAGGCCATCCTCATGCACCTGCGTTAAGGAGAGGCTGTAAATGACCTTACTCCAGGGTGTTCTGTCACTGCTGATCTGACCTTCCCAAGACCCCTGAAGCAGGGTGTTCTGGGATCTCTTCTGCAGCAAATGCTTCCAGATCTGTGGGTGGGGACCCAGGTGGCTAAGTGATTACCTTTTTTTGGAGGGTGGTGCAGAGTAGGCGGAGAGGAAGAGAGCAGGTTTCTCAGTGTCTAGAAATTGCATTTCTGGTACCTACACGTTACCAGACGCTCCCAGAGTTGGGAAACTGCCATGGTCACTAAGGGGGCTGGGGGTGGGGGCTGTTAAGGGCTAGGTCGGTCTAGGGGAAGCGACCCTCCTCCAGACTCACTCAGCACCAGAATCATTGTCTTAAGCACAGGTCAGTAGATCGGTGAAAACCCAGGCTGGAGGGAGTCCTTGGGGTTAGGAGTGAAATCTGTTTGAAGGTCAAGACCATGCCTTTTGTCCTTTGCATTCCTCCAGCAGTTAGCCGAGCACTGACCTCACTGGAAGTGCAAACCAGCTCTGCTCGAACCGAACCGAAAAGGGGAGACATAAGCACCCACTCTTCATTCCCGCTCCAATTCTCTTCAAGCCCCCAAGTGATTCTTACTGTCTGAGAGTCAGGGAGCCGGATAGAAGGGTGTGGTGGGACAGAGGCCGGGGCTTAGGGACGTAGGGACTCACCGAGCAGGGAAAGAAGTGGGGGTGGGCAAGTGGGCGTGCGCGCACGCACAGGCCCGGGCGCGGGAGTGTCGGGGAAAGGGGGTGGTCTCCAGAAGAGGGAGGGGAGAAGGCAGGGGGCGGGGAGAAGCAGGGCCCTTTAGGACCCGGCTGCGGCAGCCCGGGAGAAGCGGCCCAGGAGGCGACTCCTGTGCTCTCTGGCCGTGCCACCTGCCCGCTCCCTCGCCGCGGTCGCGCTCGCCATCGCCAGCATGTTGCCGAGACTGGGCGGCCCCGCGCTGCCGCTGCTCCTGCCGCCGCTGCTGCTGCTGCTGGGCGCCGGCGCGCGCGCCGAGGTGCTGTTCCGCTGCCCGCCCTGCTCGCCGGAGCGCCTGGCCTCCTGCCGGACCCCGGCGCCCGGCACCGGGCGGCCCTGCGTGGAGCTGGTCCGGGAGCCGGGCTGCGGGTGCTGCTCCGTGTGCGCCCGTCTGGAGGGCGAGACGTGCGGCGTCTACACCCCACGCTGCGCCCAGGGGCTGCGCTGCTATCCGCACCCGGGCTCCGAGCTGCCCCTGCAGGCGCTGGTCCAGGGCGCCGGCACTTGCGAGAAGCGCCGTGACTCCGACGGCCCCGAGCAGGGTGCAGGTAACTCGGGCTGGGACAGCCAGTTGCGAGAAACTTGGAGGGCAGCGTGGGGCCTGGCTGGTGGCTGTTCTCTAGTGAAAAAGTGTGTGGCAGCACCTCAGAGACCGTGTTAACGAAGGTAGAGTGGAGTCCTTGGCCAGCTTCAAGGAACTGTGGGGAGGGGGACCCGAAAGTCAAGCCCGCAAGGGGACTGGCTACTTGTCTGTGGGGATACGTGGGGAGAGGAAAGGCACGCCTGTGATCATGGTTTCCCCGGGTAGAACGTACCCTGACTTCTATTTTGGAGGGGGGTTTACTGGATGGAGGGGGTTGATCAGATCTGCGGGAGTGGGACCAAAGGGTCCTGGGAACGTCCTAGTGGAAGGCGCTGCTGGGGGGCAGAGGTGGCGGGTGCCGGTGACACTGGGGACCTCTAGTGAAAGGGGGGCGCAAGGAGAAGGCAGCGGCGCGTTGAGGGACTCTTCCTGTTGCTGGGGTTGTGAGGTGGGAAGAAAGGGCTTGCTGGTGGTACTTGGCACGCTGGGTTGCTTAGGGGTAAAATAAAAACGGACGCTGCTGTTTTTAACATGCAGAAGGAAAAAGGCTCTTGCTACTATGTTGGATGGAAAAATAAAAGCGGAGCATTTGGGAGGTGTAACTTCAGCCGGGTCGCCGGGTGCAGTCCCCGGGCAGGGACAGCCGCTACCCAGTTTAGCATCTGGGCCTCAGCGCCGAAGCTGGGGATGCCTGGGCGCGGACTCCTACTGAGCGAGGTGTACCTGAGGGCCACCCTCCATTCTAACTGGAGGGCACTCTTCCTATCTGATAGAATAGGGGCCCTGAGATTCTTTGTAAGGGGCTCTCATCCCCCAACCCCCAAAGTTTTTTGAGGGACACTTGTTTTTTGTATGTTTTGAAAATTACAAAAGCCTCCTGCCACAGCGGTCTGGAGGAAGCTATAATTATTTTCTTTCCTCTTGGAGACAGTGGTGAAATGTGTCCACTGCCTGCTGCTGTTTGAAAAGCAAGCGAGTTTGACCAAGTTCCTCAAACTTGGAAAAAAGAAAGAAAGAGAAAAGAAAAAATGAAACATTCTTGCTTCTCAGCTTCTGTGATCATTGTAGCTTGGCCCCCCAGTCGCCCCCCACCTTTCCTCTAGCCTGCTATTGTTTCTCCCTGTTCTCCTTGAGAACGGGATTAGGGGTCAGAGTTGAAATCTTTTTCTATTTTCCTGGCACATTTTGACTCTGAGTGTAGAGCAAGTCAGGGCTTCCTCTGTGCGGACGGAACAGAACACCTCAGTCCCTTTACTCTGCCTCCGGCTTGCTTCCCTCCCCGGCCTGCTCCCCTTCCAGCCTGCTTCTCTTAGAAGGTAATACTAAAAGGAAAAAGACTTGGCAAAGGCCCTCTCACTGCGGGCTGCCTGTCCCCTGGTCCTATGTTCCTCCCCCATCACCGCCTGGCACCCCGTGGTCCACCAGGGAGATACTGCGGTTTCTGAGCTGAACTCTGACAAACTAAACATCTTCCTCAGCAGGGTGGACTTTTCAAAAGGCCTCCACGTTTATGGGATCTTTTGGATTTTTACTGTTTTTGATAAAGTGCGTGATACATGTCTTCCTAAACGTTTTGCCTTTTCTCCCCCCAGTCCTCATAGCTCTCACTCTCAACCTGAAAACCGGCTCTCCTACTGCCCACACCACAGCAGGTTAGGGTCTTCAGAAAGGAACTGGCAGAGTCTCCATTCACGCCCTGCTGGAGTCAGAAGGGGGGGGGTTGTCAGGGGAGCCTGGGGACAATGGGTGAGTTCGTGGGAAGAATTTTCTTCCTGGTTGTGGGACTCCTCCTCCAGCTAGCCCAGTTGCATCCTCAGCCTTCCGCGTTTTCTCTTGTGCTCTAGACTGGCAAGAGGGGACCCAAGGTTGGGAGGAAGAGAGTGGGGGTACAAAGTAGATGGGGAAGCATAGTGGACATCTTGGAAAGAAGTGACCAAGAGCTGGGTGCCTGAGGCCTGAGGCCTGAGTAGGGCTGGGGGTGCAGGGGGCACTTTGGAGAGAAGCCTGGGCTTGCAGGGGTGTCAGGAGGAGAGAGGGGCAAGTTTTGAGGCTTCTGTGCCCAAGAGGGTCTTGGGCTGGGGCAGGGAGGGGGCGCTGCATGGAGAGAGGTAGAGTCCAGACTGGGTGGGGACAGGGACTGAGCGTGGCCCAGAAGAAACGTTAGCACTGAATGCTGCTGCCTCCTACTCTTCTCCCGGCTCTGCCTCCCCCTCCCCCGTCCCAGCCCGCATTCCTCTTTGAGCAGGTTGCTTTTGAGAATTTTAAACATACCCTCTCATTTCGAGGCAGCAAACCCCAGCAGTTCCGGCTTCACTGTTAGCTCTTTTGTCTTTGTTCCCAGGGCTCAGGGGCTGGGTAGCTGGCTTCCTGGGGATGGAAGGGATGCAGGGCTGGGGGTGGGCACTTCAGCCAGTGCTGAGCCTGCAGGCTCTGGGGGTGATGAGCTGGGACTTGCTGGTTCCAAGAAACCCAGAAGTCAGACTGGGATGTTAGAGTGGGTGGCTCTGGGAGAAAGATGGAAGAAGGACCCCGAGATCTGTGTGAGGGTTGGGCCTTAGGTGTGGGGCTGTGGTTGGTGGTGGAGGGGGCAGAAGTGTCTAGAAAAGTCGGAGAAGAGGGTTTGGGCCAGCTGGGGTCCTTTCGGTATTAAGGGCCTCCTTCAGCCGCTCCCTGCCTCTTTCTCTGCGGTGCACAGTGCCAGGGACTAGGCCGAGGGGCGGAGCCGCTCAAGTGGCCGTCTGGCGGGCTGCACATATAAAGGTACTATGGGACTGCGCAGTCATTCAGAGTCCCAGGACGGGCAGCCGGGCAGGCCGGCGGCGGCGCACAGGCGTTGCTTCTGCAGTTGCTGGGGGAGGAAAGGGGGCAGAGGCAAGCACTGATTTACAGTGGTTCAGTGCGGTTTGAAAGAGGGGAGAAAAGCAATGGGACTCCTGGCTCGAAGCGCTGCTTTGCATCTCGTCTTGCATAAATTTGCATACTGAGTTCAAAGTCATAAAATAGACTTGGGGAATGAGTGGGACCCACTGTCACTGATTGCTAACACCGCTGTCTTCCGTCCTCCTTCCCCCCTTCTGGACAGAACACGAAGAACTAACTCTGCTAAGCTGCTCCCCCTGAGTCACCGTCCCATTGGAAAAAGATGGGGGAGCTGAGGGCGGCTGCTCCTGGATCCCCTTTCTTGGAGACTCCACGTTCCGTGGCTATTGGGATCAAGGTGGGGTGGGCAGGAGTGGGGGGCTCTGTGCACTCTGGCCTTGGAGGCGGGGCAGGTCTGGAGGGTGTGGTTAGATAGGTCCTCAGCCTGCAGTGAGTGGCCTGGAGCTGCCATCATGCTGGAGGAAGCTTTGAGAAAAAAGCAAATCCTCTATACCAATGTCAAAAATACCTTACAAAGACAGAAACAGCGCCAAGGATTCTAAGTTAGAATAGATGATAGAGTCTTGGGGGAAAGAAGAACCCATCTGGTATGGTCATGAGGATCTATCTACGCAGTGGTTCTTGGCCAAATGAGACTATTGAGTTTGCTGGCAGGCAAAGGGAAAAGGGAAGTTTATATGGTTCTCACTGTGAATTTACCTTAGTACTGAGCTTTAAAATAAAAATTTCAGGCAAATCAGTCCTTTGGATGGGGGGAGGGCAGCAGCAAGGAATTAGTCCTATAAAATTGCCCATGGGGCCCCAGCAGTGTGGCTCAGGGGTTGAGTGCTGACTCATGCACCAAGAGGTCTCGGGTTCGATTCCTGGTCAGGGCACATGCCCAGGTTGTGAGCCTGATCCTTAGTGGGGGACATGCAGGAGGTGGCCGATCAGTGTTCTCTCTCATCGATGTTTCTATCTCTTTTGCCCTCTTCCCTCCTCTCTCTAAAATTAATAAAGGAAAAAAATAAAAGTCCATGGGTTGCTTGCAAGCAGGAGCATGTTCAGTCACCCATTGTCAGATATTTGAGGGTTTGCTTTGAGGATCATTGCTCTCTAGCCCAATTGTCAGGTTAGATTCCAGTTGGTTCTCAGATTAGCTGTTCTCTGCCATAGAAAATGGGACACACAACTGTGAAGTCTTGATATGAGGAAGTTCTGGACATTCTTGGCTCTAATGAAATGCAGAATAGGAGCTTCATTCTCCACCTGGGGTGGGGGGTTGTGGTGGCAGGACAGGCCAGGGGCTGCTAAAAGGAAGGAACAGAAAATAAACAGATTATGTCCACACTGGGTTTTGTTGCTGGCTCTCTCCACATTCTACAACACTGGACAAAAAGTTGTCATTATTTTTTAAAGAGACTCTATATGCAGGGACTACATTTAGTTCCAGTCTCTCCTCTCTGTGTTCCCAGCTTCCTTTTTTCTCCCTTGCTTTCTCCATCCTGTCTCCACGACACCCTTGAGACGCTTCTCCCCCCTATGCCTCTCCCAGCCGTGAACTGGCTGAGGACACCTGGCCACACGCGAGAAAATTGCATGGAAAACATATTGGCCCCAGCCTTCCACGGGATCCAGTTAGAGGGAGACCACGTAGGTGATCGAGGACTGGCATGTTTGAAACAAATCTGATCTTTAAATGAGGTGGGTGGCAGTGCAGTGGCCAGGCTTTGTGGGTGGGGAGTAGCCATTGCCCCTAAGAGGGTTAGTACTGGTGCTGCTTCTGCTGAAACCAAGGCACAGAGGAGTGAGGTTTTACTTTCACTCACGAGGGGAGCTGATGAATGGTTGGCAGATGTTCTGGGTCGCTCTGCTTCTCCTTGCTATCTCTGGCCAGAGTTTTGCTGAGGTGGCAGGCAGCTGCCGGAGATGGGTCATCCTCCCGTCTGTTCTTATCCTGTTATGAACCAGCTTCTTCGCCTGCTTTGTAAACTCCTGTCCACGACATCTCTGCGAGGAGGCTTTTGGCCTCCATTCTGTAAGTGTGGACTTGGGCTTTGTCGGGGGCACCTGCGCAGGTAAGTAATAGGATGAGACTAACCTGGC